GGAGTCCACGCCGGACGAGCTGCCGTCGGACGCCGAGGAGCAGCTGCGCAGCGGCGAGCAGCAGCTGGAGCTGAGCGGGCGGCGGCTGCGGAGGCTGCCCGGCGCCGTGTGCGCGCTCGGCCGCCTGCAGAAGCTGTACGTGAGCGGCGCGGGGCTGCGCGAGCTGCCCGAGGAGATCGAGGAGCTGCGCGAGCTGCGCATCCTGGCGCTGGACTCCAACAAGCTGGAGCGCCTGCCCGACGGGCTGTGCCGCCTGCCGCGCCTCGCGCGCCTCTACCTGGGCGGCAACCGGCTGCGCGCGCTGCCCGCCGACTTCGCGCAGCTGCAGAGCTTGCGCTGCCTCTGGATCGAGGGCAACTTCTTGCGGCGCTTTCCGCGGCCGCTGCTGCGCCTCGTGGCGCTGCAGTCGTTGCAGATGGGCGACAACCGGCTGCGCGCGCTGCCGGCCGAGCTCCCGCGCATGACCGGCCTGCGCGGGCTCTGGCTTTACGGGAACCGCTTCGAGGAGTTCCCGCCCGCGCTGCTGCGCATGGGCCGCCTGCACATCCTCGACCTGGACCGCAACCGCCTGGGCGGCTTCCCTGACCTGCAACCCCTGCGCGCGCTGCGCGTCTTCTCCTACGACCACAACCCGGTCACTGGGCCCCCACGCGTCGCCGACACAGTTTTCCTCGTGGGCGAGGGCGCCGTAGAGCGCATGGCTGAGCGCGACGAACCCACGCCGCGGGTACCACCCCGCCGCCCCGCACGCGCCTTCGAGGACGACGAGGAGGAGGAGCTGCTGATCGGGGGCGCAGGCGCCCGGGTCCTGGGAAACTCCGCGGGCGGCCCCAGGGCCCTGGAGGCCCCACCAGGCCTGGGCACCTGAAGCTGGGCTGTGGGTGGTCCGCGAGGCCAGTCCGGGGGCGTCAGAGAGGTTCGGTAGAGAGGAACCCCTGGAGCCTGGGGTGGCCTGGGACCATCCTAACACCTCTGGGTGGAAATCTGATACCCCAGCAGAGGAGCCAGCTTCCTCCTGGAGCCGGGTCGCTGTTCTTGCACAATTATCTGGCCGCCAGGGCGTCTACACCCTCCTCCTGGGGTTTGGCTCTCCTGGACCACTCCATCTGGTTCCTGAGCAGCTGCTTCTGGGGTGCACTGTGCCGGGCGGAGCTGCCTGAGGAGAGGCAGGGCTAGGCCCAGGGCAACGGAGTGGGAGAAGCCGCCCGGCCCTCCAGGCCCCCACTGCACACCTCCCCCAGGCTCCCCAGTGTCTCTGGGGCTCCCTCCCCACCTTCCCTTCTGGACTCTCCTCCCAGCTTGTGCCTGGCATTTTGCTGGGCAGAGAGCTCCCCCACCTCCCAACAGCCTGAGCCGACAGCTGTCAAGTTTGCAAAGGAGCCGCTGTGCCTGCCTGGCCTCCTGCACCAAGGACAGGGCTCCAGGCCTCTCCGCAGCCTGCGCTCTCCATTCCCTTACATGGGCACAGCTGGGCTGGCTGGCACCGGTGGGGCACGGCTGGGCGCTGGGTGCCTCACTCCGTCACCAGGGACTGTCTGGAGGGCGTGCAGAGAGAGCCCTGCCCTCCATTCCCAGGGCCAGCTCTTTCTCATCCAAGCAATAAGGGGAGGAGGGCCGGGGACACTCAGGGATGCAGTCAGGCAGAGGCCCTCAGGGCAGTGTTTTCTTTAGGAAGAAAACTGACTGTACTCATAAATTATATTTCTTGGAGGAAGACTACATCTCCTGCATGCCTGTTTCTCTAAGCTCGGGAGCCCTGGGAGCCTTGGGGGCCCTGCCTCGGCCCCTGCCCTGCCCAGCTCTGTCGGGCTGGCGCTGGCCGACCGCCTGGCCTGTCTGGGGCAGCGCCCCCGCCCCCCCCCGCCAGCAGCAATGGCTTTGGCCTCTGCAGGCTCTGCAGGGGTCTCAGTCTCTGCCTCCCTGCTCTGGGCTGCCCTGCCCGAGGAGCTGTGCTGTGGGATCTTAGCCCCATCTCGGATGCCGAAGTCCTCGGTGTTCTGCATCTCCCGCAAGCTGGGCTGAGCGTCCTGTGTCCTCCCACAGGCACCACCCTGCCCGCTCCTGACCGCACTGTCTCCACACCCTCGCGCCCTGCTCCTCTCCCTACGTCTCTTGTCAGCTCAGTGTTGCCTTCCCCCTCTCTCCGGGAAAACAGATCTAAAGGAAGGGAAAAAATGGGAAAGCCTCCAGCCCAGAGGTCTGTCTCCCATGAGAATGTCCTGCAGGCCTCTGTCCCCATGGCAATGAGAGCTGATGTCATGTGGGCCGAAAGGTCAGGCTCTGCCCCGTGCTTGGCTGGCCTGCTGGGCTGGGCCCTAGGAAGGCGGAGGCCAGGCACAGGTCTGGAGCAGCCTGCTTCTTCCCAAGGAGGAGGAGCTGGGGCTTGGCTGCAGCCCTGGTCCTGTTGAGGGTCTTCTTGGGACCTGGGTGCTTGGGAGAAGGAATTCAGGAGGCCCCGAGACCACTCAGGTCAGGTGGGAGCCGTGGCTGGCTAGGACTGCCCTCCCAAGCCGAACCTAGGGTTTTAGCAGAGAGGAGATGCCCTGGGCCTGTCCTCAAGAGCCACAGGTGAGCTCCAGCGCCCCCAGTGGCCTTGAGTAAGCCATAGCACCCGTTCCTCCATCTACATGGGGGAGGTGAGCTACTTAGAGCTGACACCGCGCTCAATCCGAGCACCCTGGAGTTTGCCCGCCTGCCTTTCTGCAGGGCTGCAGCTCAGTCTCCTTCCTCCCTCTGGTCTGCTCGCTGCGCCTCCTCCCCTGCTGCCAAGGCCCTGCGCTGGGCTCCCGGGGGCCAACCGAGGCACTCAGCTCTCCCCTTTGGTACTGCCAAGGTTGGCACCCTTGGACACTGCTTTCTTCCAGGACAGCACAGAGCGTGGCATCTGGGCGGGCTGTCTTGCTGCTTGCTGTCTGCCTGCAGGAGCCAGCTCCTTTGGGAAGTCAGAGTTTGGTTTAAGTGGGTGCTGGTGCCTGGCTGTAGGGACCACCAAGAGTTCCATGAGGGCAGCCAGGGAAGCAGGGTGCTGTTGCCCGGGCCAACGGGTGTCACAGCTCCCCTGGGCGCTGGACAGCCTTGTCCCAGGAGTCCTGGCACTCCTCACCCGTGGCCTGTGCTTCTCTGTGGCCTCACGTGAGGGGTGCTGGTAACGCCGAGGGTGGGCCGGTCCCACTCCATGTAGGATCCGTTCCCCTGTGGCCCTGGGAGGGGGAGGGGGGAGGCCATGGCAGAGCCAGGCGGAGAGCCCTGGGGGGTTGTGCTTTGCCAGGAGGTTTGGAGCAGGAGGGCAGGAGGTGGAGGCTGGGCGGACAGAGCAGGGAATGTGGCAGGGCCTGGCCAAGGCTGAGGGCTCCTGACCCAGCGCTCATCTGAAACTTGCTGGGGCTGCTCTGGCCATGGCTGGCTCCCAGGCGTGTGAGCAGAGTCCAGGAGGACCGCGGCCTGGCCCTGCCCTCCCTGCGGGTTTGAGTCTAAACAGGTGGAACTCGGGGCCCAGTGCCCCATCCTCAACATCCCCCGACCCCACCGCCCCATCCGGTAGGCCTCATCATGGGGCCCCGCCTGGAGCACTCCCTGCCTTGGCCCAGTCCTAGGGCTCCCCCAAGATACCGGGCACTGCTGTTCTGAGGATGGACGTTTATTAGCACACCCAGGCGTGCGCACGGAACGCGCGTGCAGACGGTCCCTGCCCAGGGGCTCACAATCTAAACACGACACGGCACAGACACACAGGACACACAGGACACGGGGGGCGGGTGTCAGTGGTGACAGGAGGTCGGGGTCACAGACTGGAACAGACAGCGTGTCAGCCTTGTCCTTCTGGAGAGGTGTGCGTGGGGAAGGAAGCCCCGGAGCAGTGGCCTGGTAGGAGGAGGACGGCACCCAAGGCCTGGAGGCGGGGGGTGGCTCTGCCGGGGGCTGTGTCCCAAGTGCTGTGACGGAGACAGTCTGACAAGCTGCAGGCCTGAGGCTGTTCACCTGACCCCGGCACCCCGTCTCTGCACAGGTCTCAAACCATGGCGGCCCCTTTCTCCTGTGCCAGGAGCAGACCCAGGGCCTCCTGCATGCTGGGCCAGCACTCACCAGAGCCGCACCCCCACTTAATCCAGACGCTGGGGCCGGCAGGGGGCGGCTGGGAGGAGGGGTGCACATGGGCCCTGGAGGTGTGCCTGTCCCTTGGCAGGGGCCCTGAGCTGCCAGGCCCTGCCCTGGGCTGGGGAGGGCAGGATGGTTATTGCTCTCTAGGGGAGGGATGGCTCCCCCAGTGCCGCGGAGGCAGAGGGGACCCGGCCCAGCTTCCCAGGTGCGAGTTGGAACCTGAAGGATCTCCTCTTCAGGGGAGATTTGCTGGCCCTGAACAGGAGAACTAAGCTCAGGGTGGAGAGGGTCCGCAGGTCCCGCCAGCCAACCCGAGTTCCATTCATCCTGTCCCACGAGGGGGCCCTGGACAGAAGCTCTGCAGGCAGCATGGGGGACAGTGGTCTGGCTTGCCTTGTTGGGGGGGTGGCAGTCTCCTGGGAACTGGAGAGCACCGCAGGCCCGCTGGGTGTTGGGGGAGGGGCCAGGCCACCAGTGATGTCTGTCCGGGGCTACCCGGCGTGGGCAGGAGCCTGGCTGGAGTCCCCGCCGCTCACCCAGCCGCTGCTTCCCCGTGGGGACAGGGCAGGGCCCACAGAGGAAACAGCCAATGCCCTACTTTTCACGATCCTTTATTAATCAGAACAGGCCCCGCCCGAAACAGCAGGGCCCATTCCCACAAAAATATGATTTTGCAAAGAGGAAATTCTGCTGGCTTACAGGGTGTGTGTGGTGGAAAACTTTTGTATGGTTCTTTTTTCCTTTTTTTTTTTTTTTGTTTCTTCAGCTTTCTCTCTTCTCTTCACTGCAAAAACTCTTTTTCTGTGACAGTGGTTTTCGTCTTATTTTTTATAAAACACTTGCACTCGAAGACTCAAACACGATACAGACAGCGGCCGCCAGTCCCCACTCCGGGGCAGGGCGCCCCGTGGCTTCTGTGTGGCTTTTTCCTTTGTCCCTAACCCTGGCTGTGGAGCCGGGGGGTGGCGTGGGGTCCTGGGGCAGGTGGGGAGATGTTCACGGAGGACAGAGCTGAACCAGGTCACGACTAGGTCTAGGGTGCCCACAAATGAGGCAGATGACACTCATGACAGGGCCCAGGACACAGTGAAAAGACGGGGGGGGGCCCTGGCCTCCCTGTCCCGCGGCAGGGACGGCAGGCAGGCGGAGCGCTCAGGCCGCGGTAATAATACTTTGCTCCCGGTAGCACCTTCAGGGTCCTTCTGCCTCGCTAGACCCCCAGGTCAGGCGATGGTGACCTCACAACCTCCCCCATGAGGTAGGTGAAGTATTATTACCATCATTTTGCAGATGGGGAAACTGAGTCGCAGGGAGGGTGGGTGACTTGCCTGAGGTCCTGGGACAGAGGCCGGCTAAGGCGCCCTCCCCACCCTCACACCCTGTGCCCTGCCCTCTGGCTGCCCTAGGCTGTCCCACCCGCTGCCGCTCCATGTTGCCCGCCTCTCCTGCCGGCCCACCCCGCCCTCAGCCTGCCTGAGCAGCCCTGGCCCACATGCGGGCTCCAGCATGGAGCGGGGGGACCCCAGGCCATCACGTGCACCTGGCTCCTGAGGGGAACCGTGCCTCTGCCGTGACGGCTGGGAGCTGTGTGGCAGGCTGAGGCCGCTCACACCCGAGGGCCCTGTGGGGCCGAAGCAGACAGGGGTCTGAGGGAGGGAGGGAGGGAGCACGGCTGACCCTGCCCTCCACCCTCTGGCCGCTCCTCCGCGCACACCCTGCTGGGCAGCTGGGCAGGCCCACTCCAAGCAAAGCTATACGAGGGAGACTGGGTTTACAAGGACGGTGGTGGCTACTGCTTTGCACAACTGGCATTCCTCACTCTACGGAACGATTCACCTACTGGAACTCTCCCTCCAGATCCCAGGGAGGAAGGGCAGGAGGCGGGCAGCTTGGATGCACAAGCAGTGTGATGAGGCCGTTCTTCCCTGCCTGGGGCCCCGCCTCCTATGGTGTTCTGGCGCCACCTGGTGGTGCGTTCTGGGGACGTCGGGAGGCTCTGTCACCACAGGAGGACCAGCTTGAGCCCATCCTGCTGTCTGCTATGTCAGCGGAAGCCAGTACTCAGCCTCAGAGACTCAGAATCCACAGGTGGGCGGGAGGCCGGGAGAGGCCGCCCCAGGGACCAGGCAGGGCCAGGCAGACATGAGAAACTGCACCAGGAGGGCAGGCAGGCGAGGCGCCCCGGTCAGGCGAGGGCAGGGAAGGGCCAGGTGGGGAGCCGAGCACGGGTCTGGAGAGGTGGAGTCTTGGGGTGGGGACAAGCTGGCGGGGCTGGGACCCCTGAGACAGAGGGAGTGGGGGTCCTGGTGGAATGCTATGCACACAGTAGGTGCCTAAAAGTTGTGAACTGATGTCCAAGAGGTGAAGTCGCCAGGGAGGAGCTGCTGAGGACTCGCAGCGGGTGGGCGGCATCACCTTGTCCCTGCCCCTCCAGCCCCAGCCCCGGCCCCAGCCATCCTGCTTCTGTCTCCACACTGCTGACCCCGGGACAGGGAGCAGCGCCCCTCACACATACACAGTGACACAACACAAAGACACAGGGCCGGCTCACCCGGAGCAGGCTATGCACTCAGCGTTCAGGGCCCAGCCGGCACCTGAAGCCGCCCTGCAGGCGGGCCGTCCTGCCAGGCCGGGGCCAAATGCCTCGGCACCCCCTCCTGGGCGGGGAGGGCTGGCTTCTCTCCACTCCAGGCACCGCCGTAAAGAAAACGGGGGCCGTGCCCACCTGGCGGGCCTCTGGAGGGTGTGCCCGTCTGCTCGCAGGCGCTCCCCACTGCTTGGCCTGGGCAAGTCAGGAAGGAGCGGCGAAGCAGGGAGATGGCTCCGGAGCCCACCCCGTGGACTGTGGGTGGGCAGGACGTCCTGGACGGGCCCCAGTGTCCTCCCCTCACCCGCGGCGGGGGCCGGGCCGGGTGGTGTGCGAAGGGTGGTGAGGGCATGATGGGCCCGGGGTTGGGCCCCCTGGGCGTCCCTGGGTGCTCAGGCCTTCAGCTGGTGCCACTGGGCCACAGGCTGCCGGGGACGGGCGATCATGTCCTTCCAGTGCCTCACCTCGCCTGGCCCGCTCTTCCAGGACAGGTAGATCTGCGGAACGAGGGGAGCGGTGTTAGCCAGGCCAGGTGGCACGGAGCCTTGGTGACCCCTGCCCACTGCCCGGCCTGCTTTCCAGGCTGTGCCACCCACAGAGCTGACGCGCCTGCCCTAGGCCCTCTAACCGAGGCCTATTTCTGGCGGGACTGGCACCGTGGTTGCCCTGACCAGCTCGGGGCTTCACCTCTGGTCAGCAGGTGCCGCCGTGAAGCGGGTCTGGAGCTACACGCCCGCTCCCAGGTAGGGAGGCTGAGGGATGTGGGTGAAGAGACAGCACAGTTCCCGGGACCAAGTGCAGAGGGGCTGAGGGGGCCCTGGCCACCTGCTCCCTCTGCCAGGCCCTGTGGGGCTGCACGCATGCGGACTGCGGTGGTTAGGAACCTCAGTCCCGAGGAGAAGGAGCAGGACACTCCCACATGGCCAGGGCACAGGCTGTCACAGGAAAATACAGAAACTGTCACAGACCAGGGAGCTGGTGTGGCACAGGTGACCTCTGAGCCTGGGACAGAGAGCACCTGCCGGGAAGGTGGTGAGACACAGACACCGCCTTCAGGATGGTTCTTGGGCCCCGGTTCTTGGGCCCAGACAGAGTGGCCAGAGTCACACAGCAGGCTGGCACTGGGGATACTGGGCAAGGCAGCTGCAGACGCCCTGTTGGCCTGCTGCTCTGACGTGAGTCTAAGCGTGCAAACAGAAAGTCAGCGGGGACGGCAGTGGTCTCCCTGCCGCGGGCGCTGGCCTCTGAGGCTGTGGGCGAGCACCTGGGGTCCAAGCCCAGGGCTGCGTGTGCTGTCTGTCTCTGCGAACAGCCCGCAGTGCGACCTCAGCCCCGGTGGCACCTGCCTGCCTTCCAGGGGGCCGCACCGGGGCTGCACTCGGGGCTTCTGACCTACCCAAGCCACAGCGGGACCCATGCATCTTCGCCCTGGAGCGACAGAGCTCGCCTGTTTCAAAAGGAGCTAGGACATTCTGGGAAGCTGAGGCAGGAGAACCCCCAGTTCCAACCCAGCCTGGGCAACTGAGAGCCTGAATGAGACCCTGTCTCAAAGTAAAACAGAAAGAGCTGGGGATACAGCTCAGTGCGAAGGCCCGGGGTTCCATCCCCACCAGTGAAAATAAACAGCTACCGATTCGGACGCCAGGAGTAGACATGGGCTCTTGAGCTCCAGGGTCCGCGTGGTCCAAGGAGCTCAGTGGCCCTCCCGCCTGTTCCCAGTCTGAGTGCCTTTCCTGGGGCCCCCAAGCAAGGCTGTGCAGGGCTCGGCGTGCTCCCCACTCCTCTGCTCCCAGCTGCGCCCACCGCTCGCCTCGGGAGTAGCACTTCCACAAGGACTTGGGGTGCAGCAGGTGTGCATGTGGGCCCCTCCTGCAGTCCCCAGCCGTCTCACCGCCCCTCTGCTGCATAGCCGGATTGTCGAACAGCACTTGGGAGGAGGCAAGGCCCCGTGCAGAGGGATGGTGCTAGGAGGCAGGGCCGGAGGGTTGGGACGGCACTGCCCAGCTCATAGGGCTCTGGGTTCGAGTCCCAGCACCACCCGGAAGAAGAAGCAGGGCTGGGACCCGGTCTGCGTGCACCGACCACCTGGCCCATAGGCAACTGGAAACCACAGACAGTGGAGAACAGAAATCCAAAGCTGGGAGGTGGAGGGCTGCGTCACGGCACTGCGTTCCAGAGAGCCCAGCCGAGCCTGGGGTGCAGGACTGAGGGTGTGTGAGACCAGATGCTGCCCTGACCTGCAGAACCGCTGCCTGGCACTGGCACTGCAACCCCAGAAGGTCCCATAGGCGGGCAGCAGAGCCCACCTCACCGCAAGGAGCAGAAAAACCCTGAGGGGCCCATGCTGCGCTCGAGGTCACCGCTGCTCGGGGGCTCGGGTGCCAGCTGGGCTCTCAGCCCCCGCCCCCCGCGTCACGCCCCCGCGGATGGCCCTACCTTGCCGATGACGTCGTTGCGGCTCAGCTTGTCCTTGTCCATGACGGTGATGACGATGGTGGTCTCCCGCAGCTTCTCCGTGGGGATGTCGAAGGCAAAGGACTCGTTGAAGACGGGGTTCAGGTTCCTCTTCATGGTCACCGTCTTCTTCTTCTCCACTCGCTTGTCCTTGTACATCAGCCACACCTTCACGTAGGGGTCTGGGGAGGCAGGGGAGAGTCAGGGGGCCTGGGCCCCTTCCAGGGTAGGGGGTGGGGTGAGGAGTGCAGAGCCCGCAGGTGACAGAGCCCGAAAGGCCTGGCTGTCATCAGTGCCTCTGCTGACACTGGGTGAAACGGAGGCAGGGTGGCGGGCTTGACCAAGGTCATGGAGGGGGCATAGGGTCTGGGCCCGAAGCCCCACCTTCCCGACTCAGAGCGCTCCTTCCTCCGGCTCCCGAGGAGGACAGCGCTCATGACACAGCCCCCCACCCCTGAGCGCCCCGCCCGCACCTGATGTGCCCCCGATGTCCATGGCTTTGAGGTTCCGGGCTTTGATAATGTTCACGATGATGGAGTTGGCGGAGGGGTTGTAGCAGAGAGACAAGAGCAGCTCCCCTCGGCTCCCCTGGGGACAACGGCACGGTCAGCGGGGCGGGGTCACCGGGACTGGCAATACTGTGCTGCCCTGGGAGGCCCACTGCTCCACTGCCGCCCCTCTGGCAGGTCTGTGCCCTGTCCCCGGGACCCCCGGTTCCCAACCAGAGCCCAGAAGCCTACACTCCCATCGCTGCATGGCTTCAGGTCCTTCCAGAAGGTCTGCATCTGCGTCAGGTCCACCTTGTTGAGGGGGATGGACACCTCCCCAATGGGGTCATTGCGGCTGAAGCGGTCATAGTCCAGGACCTGGAGGTAGAGGACCCTCTGCACCACCTTCTCGTAGGGGAAACCTGGGGACAGAGAGGCGAGGTGAGGGGGCCGCGGCCAGCAGCTGGCCTTCTGGAGCGACGCGCAGGACCCCCAGCCACTGCGCACTGTCAGGGGTAGGGATCCACGCAAGGGACGGGGAGACCAAGGCCCTTGGCTAAGACAGCGCAGAGCTGCCCTGCCACGCCCGCCCCTGCCCACTGCAGCGGCTCCACACCCCGGGCCAGGGCTGGCCAGGGACTGCTGGGGACCACAGGGACAGGGCAGGTGCCGAGGGACACGGCCAAGGCAGGGAGCAGGGCTGGACACAGCGCCAGACTCCTTTCCCTTGGGCCTCCTTCCAGGGTGCCAGCCTGCCTGTCCTGCCTAGCACCTCCCCTGTGCTCACTGTCTGCCCTGTCCAGGCCGTCACAGACACAAGTCCCCCGACTGCTGCCCCTTCCTCCTGCCCCTGGGCCTGGGCTCTGGGCAGCTGCCGGGGAAGGTTTTGCAACCAGCCAGGACAAGGTGGCCTCGGCTCCAGGTGAGCTCCGGGGCGCTGCCCTGCCTGGCTCGGGGTCCTGTCCCTACGCAGCTCGGCCCGGTGTCTTCCTGCCCCTGGGACGGGTTTGTCCCTGTCTCCTTGACCCTTGCCTGCTTGCCCACCAGGGGGGGATTTCTGGCAGGGCAGGCATCTCTGCGCTCGGCGTTGGCTCCTGGCTGGATGGGGAGGGTCACACAGGTCAGCCTAGGGGTAAGCAGGAAGGAGGCAAGATGGGGGAAGGTGTGGGGACCCTCGAACCTGCACCCCAAGGCGCTGGGGCAGAAAGCCATGGACAGGAGGGGGTGAGGGAAGAGGGAAGCTCCGGAAAGCATCAGGGTCATTTCCTCCTAGGGAAGGGGGCCACGGGGCCCCCAAGGGACCTATCGCAGGTACCCCTTGGCATCCGTTCAGGGGAAATGACGGGAACAAGCGATCTGGGAAGGCTGGAGCTCTGGGAAGATCCCCGCACCCGAATCGGTGCTCTGCCACCCGAGTGGAAGCCTCCAATGGAACTCCTGCTCACCCTCAGAACCCATCCGGAATGGCCTCTCGTCAGGGAAATTTTCTTTGGCAACACAAGGGAAGCTCATGTTGGTCCCTGCAGCACCATCCTGCAGGGCATGGCCTAGTTATCAATGCACCTTGTCCCTCAGACCAGGGACTCCTCCAAGGCTGCTGCAGTCCCTCCTCTTTTCCTGAGCCCAGGACCCAGCTCCCAGTCCGTGCCTGGCGGACAGGGGCTCTGCCAGCGGGCTACATGCGCCTCGGACGGCGGGCGTCCTGCTGGCTGCGCCATCTCTCCCGGGCACCGTGGGCAGCAGTGGGCCAGGCTGCTGGCAAGGGCCATGGCTCTTCCCTCTGGGGGCCTGGGAGAATCTGCTTCTGAGCTTGTGCCCCAATCTGTCACCCAAGGCTGGGACCCAGGACTGAAAGACGGGCCTTCAGGGCAGCAGAGGTCTTCCTGCCCCAGAGGCCTTAAAGGTACCAGGTTAGCTGGCCAGGACAGGGCGTGTGCAAGCTCATGTTTTGTGTTTTGTTTTCTGTGGTGCCGGGCATTTAACCCAGAGCTCAGGCTGAGCTACATCCGCAGCCTGCTCTTTTGCCTTAATCCTGACACAGGTGGTGCTGAGTGGCGAAACTGCCTGGGCTGGAACTTTCGATCCTCCTGCCTCGGGCTCGCATGTGTGTGTGCACGTGTGTGTGCACATACCAGTGCAGGGCGGGTGAAGCCTCACCTTCGAAGAGGAAGGTCTCGTTCCAGTGGGGATTGAGGTTCTTCCGTTTCACCTTGGTCTCCAGCTTGTGCTTCTTGTCGGGCAGCAGGTAGATCTTGACGAAGGGGTCGCTGGTGCCACTGAAGTCCTTGGCGGGCAGCTCCTGGGCCTTCAGGATCTTCACGGTGAGCGTGGACTCCTGGAAGTCGTAGCCCACGCTGAACTGGATCCGGCCCAGGTTCTCACGGCTGCAGCCCTCGTGGGCCTCGTCCTCTTCGGAGCCTGGGGACAGCTGGGGAGCGAAGGGGCTGTGTTGGGGGGACTCTGCTCCCGGGCCCCCAGCAGCGCGCAGAGCGGACCCCGTGCCCTCTCAGCTCGGTCCCGGGCGGGCGGCGGCCGGTCGCATCCACAGCCAGCAGGGGGCGCACAGGCACAGAGCAAGGCCGTCGTGGCATCTCACGGGACAGAGGGAGGGAGGGGGCTGAGCCGGGAGGCCCCTGCCGGCCCCCAAGCGCCACCTTGCAGAGGCAGCCACTTCAGGCTGCTGGGGCTCCGTTGTCACAGCCCCCCACTTTTCCACCCTTCCCAGCCTGTGGGCCTACGGCAGACGCAATCAGCCCCGACAGGCAGCCCCTGCGGCACAGGCGCTTGCCGAGCTTCCCCGGGAAGGAGCCCTGGGCCCTGGGGGTGCGGCGCACAGTGAGGAAGCTGGGTGTTTGTGGGCCACAGCGGCCTGTGGCATGGCCACCCGGGGTGGAGCACAGATGCCCGCACCTTGCCCCTGGAGTCTGAGCCATCAGGCCGGGCAGAGCCGGGGCATGGCCCTGCTGGAGGGCACCTGGTGCTGTGTGCCTGCGCTGTCCTCGGTCCTGAGGGTGGGTCCGGGTGCTCTCGGACAGACCTTGCGTGACACATGCGAGCATGCGCCCACGTGTGTGCGTATGTGTGCATGCGTGTGTGTGCCGTTTCCACCCTGACTTCGCAAAGCAGGAAGCGGCTCCCAGCCAGGGCTGCGATGCTGCGGCCACTCACAGGGACCCTGCCACCCAAGTAGTCCTGGCCAGCAGACCCCCATGAGGACACAACTCCCAGCCTGTCCCCTCCACCCCTGCAGAAACGTCTCTGCCGTCCCCGTCCTGCAGGGGGCAGTGCGGGCTCAGGGATGCCGAATAATCAGGCGACAAGCACGCAGGGTGCACCTACCATGGCGGAAGACTCGTGTCACCTCTCCGCTGGCCAGGTGGCTGTCACTGCAGCTGGCTGAGGAGGCTGGCTCAGAGAGGTTAGGTCACGAGTCCAGGGCTGCAGGTCACACCCAGGGCCACAGCTGGGAAGGACTCACCCGCACCAAGGGACTGCCATGGCCCTGTCCCTGCCCAGGGCCGTGTCCCTCACTCCTACCCCCCCCAGCTGGGCAGGTGGGGCCCCAGGCTTCTGTACGGAGCTCACAGGGCCTGGGGGCCTCAAGCCAGGACTGTGCATGGGGACTCGAACCTGGGCAGTGCCCAGCAGCTGTGAGCATGCCAGCCCAGGTACTGGGGGCACTGAGCGCAGCTGTCTGAGCTTCCCACAGAGGAGGGGACTCTGGCCCCACTCGGCAACTTGCAGCTCTGCCCAGGCCCTCCCAGGCTGGTTTCACCCTGCTCCCTGGACACTTGGTTTCTGCCTCTGTGGGACCCGGGGGATTCAGTGGGCCCAGCAAAACCTGCTGGCCCCATTCAGTCTAAAAGTGGGGTGCAGTTGTAGGGGACCTGAGGCATGCAGGTGGCTCCAGCTCCACTGGGGTCCCTCTGTTCACTTGGCTCCCAAACGGGGTGGTGTGGAGGGGCTTGGGCCGGCAAGCGGGCTTCCCCTTGGAAAGTGGCAGAGCCTCTGGGCCCTGGGAACCAGTCATCTCCATGGCAACCAGGCTGGCCACCCCCAGCCCCCCTCAGGTAACCGAAGCTGCCAAAAGCATCCCGCCAACCTGGGCCTGACACAGCCCGCCTATAATCCCAACGCTCGCAAGGTTGAAGTGGGAGGATTACTTGGGCCCAGGAGTTCGAGTCTGGCCTGGGTAACCTAACCAGACCGCGTCTCAAGGATAAAAAGCATCAAGCCAGTCCCTGTGCCGGGTGCGAGGGGCTCCTCCCCTCTAGCTGTGCTCTCAGGGCCTGACTTCCGTGCCTGGGCCTGGAGACCACTCTGACGGGGCTCTCGGGGCTCCCCCAGCCCTACTGCCCTCCACTGTCACCTCCCGCCTCTGGACTGGGTGGGGAAAGGCGGAAACTGGCTAGCAGAACAAATGACCGGGCCATGGGCCGCGAGGAGGAGGGGCAGGTGGATGGGGCAGCATACGGGGACCCTGGGCCACCGGAAGTGCGGGTGCTTTAACCCGAATCCAGAAGTGCAGACTGGGCCCGAGGGCCCACTGCCTGGATACCTGCTCTCACCCCACTGCCCTGGGACCCCAGCGTGAGAACCAGCGGGGGAGAATCATGGCGCAGGCTGGCGCACCCCGGAGGCTGGGGGGCCTCAGGAGGATGGTGGCCTGGACCCTGGGAACCCTGAGTTGGGGTTAGGGACAGCCAGGGTCCCCAAAGCCACGTGCATGCAGAGGGCAGGAGTGCAAAAATGACTCGTCCCAGGTTATCCCCGAGGGAAGGACGCAGCAGGTACAGGTGCCCACCCTCAGCCTCCCGAGCCTTCCTGGAGCCCTGGACTGGCAGACCCTGAGCTCCTGCCCAGCCTCCCACAGGGCTCTCCTGGCTCCCTGGGGAGCACAGCTGGGCACGGGGCTGTGGTGCACCACCACCACCAGGGGGGCCACGAGAGCCACCATCTGCCCTGCAAAGCCACCCAGAGTTGTTTGTTTGTTTGTTTGTTTGCGGTACCAGGAATCAAACTCACGACCTCGCCCTTGCCAGGCAGGTGCTGTGCCGCTGAGCTAAATCCCCCAAAACACATCTAGCTACTCTGTCTTTTAATTGGAGAATTTTTTTTTTTTTTTTAAACCCGGAATTGAACTCAGGACCTTGAGCTTGCCAGGCAGGTGCTTACACCACTGAGCTATATTCCCAGCGCCACTCAGTGTTGGGATCAGGCTGGAGGGACAGGAGCCCTCCAGCCAGGGAGCGTGGAGGAATGGGGGGGTGGAGATCACAGGCCAGGAGCCCCGCCCACCTGCTGCCCATCCCTGTCCACCACCTGTCCTGCAGGAGCAGGTGTCCTTACCCCCCTTCCCGACCAGAATGGGGTCAGAGGCAGACATCATTGTTACTCTCCCTTGACAGGTGGGGAGTCTCGGGCATGGGGAGGACTCCTTGGCCGAACAGCTGGGAGGACCCTGGCCCCACTCCCTCAGCAGCAAGCACCAAGCAACCGACACGCCATGCCTGGCTCTCTGCCTGAGTGGGCCACGCTGGGCTGCTGCGTCAGCCACAAGCACTGCCCGCCCACCCGCCCCCTGCTCACCATGAGCATCTCGCTGGTGAGGGAGTTGACCAGGTCGGAGACGGAGGAGCGGGGCTCGGTCCTGCGGTCGGACTCATCATGGGGCGTCTGGCCCGGCACCAGCGCCGTGTCCACCGCCTTCCCTCCTGCGGGCAACCTGGGGAGGGGAAGGAGTGGGCTGGAGGCGGCCGGCTGGTCACGGGGCCTGGGCGAGCGGGCCAGCAGGCGCTCCCATCCGCAGGCCTGGTTCTCCCAGAAGTGGGCGCAGGGCCCAGGACCATGACTCTGCTTCAGCTGCCGCTGTGTGCCCTGCTCTGGGGACCCCACTCCCCGCAACCCGACTCAGAGCTCAGTTGGTCTCTGGGCTGGTCCCGTGCAGAGCCAGGGAAGGTTGGGGGGGCGCTCTCACCCCCGCCACTGTCAGCCCCATGGTGCCCTCCTGCCCTCCAGATCAGGGCGGCTGGGACAGCTGTCCACACCGCCTGCCCACAGGGTCCCCCACGGCAGGCAGTGGCTGAGCGCTGGCGGTGGCTGTGGCCAGTGTGACCAAGAACTGCGTCTGTAATTTTCCCACGCTACTGGGGACTGAGCCACGTCTCCCTAGTCATTTTCTCTCTTGTGACACGGCCTCTTGAAACTGCCCAGGCTGGCCTGGCACCTGTGATCTTGCCTTGGCCTCCAGGTACCTGGGTTAGAGGGGTGCGTCACCACGACTGCTTAACTATGTCATGCAAGGTGCTGTAGGGTTAGCGGCCACCTCCTGGGTGCAGCAAGCTAGCACCTCATGCTCGCTGGTCCCCACCGGCTCCCTTCCGGGGCTACGTGTGGGATGAGCCCTCCCCCAGGCTGAGAGACGGGGCTCCCCCAGTGGCCCAGTCTGCACCCTGCTCTGAGACGTTCCTAGGAGGCTGGGATCTCTGTCCAGCTGGGGCTTGAGGAGGGCACTAAGACCTGCCCAGGGACCAGGCTGGCATGCCCCCTGAGGAGAGGTGGGTGGGCAGCGGGCAGGGACAGGGTGGCAGCATGGGGCTGGGGCAGGCTTCAACAGGACAGCTTGGGGAGCACACAGCCACACCCAGCGCCACACAGCTGACACAAGGCACAGCCACCGGGGCAGACCTGGCTAGCACACAGGCACAGACAGACATGCACGGGTACGCAGGGCCCTGGAGGGTCACCAGGACCCGGGTGGGCACGCACACGCAGGCACACGCACACACGGTGCACACAGCCCAAGACGCCCAGGACGCGGAGAGAATGTGTGGGCAACAGCAGGACACAGCAGGCATGATGATGGCACCCAGGTGCCCGGGAGACCTGTGCAGGGGCCCGGCACGCCCAGGTGTGTGTGTGAACTAGGGCAACCGGAAGGGAAAAGCAGGCGCAGACTCAGACACCCTGGTGACGGGGTGCACGACGCGCCCACCACGGCACCTGGCCCAGCCTGACACACAGGGACGCCCGCCGCCACACACGCGGGCACACGCGCGTGGACACGTGCTCACAAGGACGGGCACGGGGAGGAAGAGGAGACTGAGAGCTGGAGAGGTAAAGTCAGGTTAAAAATAGAGCTGAGGGTAGGAGAGTCGGAGTTATTCCCGCCAAACTGCAGCGCCAGCACAGCTGCAAAGCAGCCTGGGGAAGATGGTCAGCGCCACTGAAGCCGTCGGAGGTCACGGGACAGAGACAGAGACCGAGGCACGGGGGGAGGCGGAGGGAGAGGCCAGGGGCTGTCGCTGGCCCAGGGACACCCTGTGAGGAGCAGATGGGAAGGAGAGACAGAGGAAGAGATGAGAGAGGGTGCAAGAAAGGTTAATCAGAGTCGAGTGGAGGAGGCTGTGGTGGACGGGACGAGGAGCCGGGCGGCCACAGGAGAGGCAGAGGAGCCAGGGACACACACAGGCGGAGGAGGGGCATGGTGGCCTTGGAGGCCTCGAGCAGCGGGTGCCTGGCCCCGGGAGGGTGGGGCCACGGTGGAAACCATTCGGATCGAGAAGCAATGGAGAGAGGTGGTGGAGGGTATGGCAGGGCGGTGCGGGGATGAGGGGTGGGTCAGGCAGGGCGCTGGGCAGCGGCCACGGACAGGAGGCTCTGTGCTGAGGTCCGGGCCGGGATTCCGTCCATGGGCCAGTGGAGGCACCCCCAGCCTGGGACCTGGGGTGGCCCGCAGGGCACAGGCCTGATCTAGGGGCTGAGGGGCCATGGGCACAAGAGGCAGGGGCCACTGGACACACTTCTGCCTTGCCTGGGACGTGGGGTGGCCAGTGGGGCAAGGTCAGCGGCCAAGGACACAGGGTGGAAACCACTTGGATCCTGAGTTGTGGGCTTCTATGCTGAGGTCCAGGGCCACCCACACCATGGGAGCGGGGCACAGGGCCTGTCCCTCCTCCTGGCCACTGGACAGACCCTTGCCGTGATCAGCACTGGGGTAGCTGCCCACCCACAGCGCTGTTCCCGTGAGCGTGCTGCTAGTGGACAAGGTGGGGCTGGGTCCCCTCTGCGACAGTCCCAGCAGGGCACAGGGCAGACACAAGGCGGGGCTCGGGGCCTGGGGTGGCCATGCCGAGCTGCAGCATGGGGCTTGCCTGCCGGAGGAAGCCCAGGGGACACCGGGGCTATGGGAGATGAGTGCTTGGGGATGTGGCGGTGGGCTGGGTGGGTGGGCAGGGCCTGTCCCAGGAGGGCAGTGGGCAGCGGATGGAAGTGGTGACCAGAGGATGCGGCGGTGACTATGGAGCCGCACTTGCGGCGAGAGGGCAGACAGGAGGGAGTGAGATGGCGCGGGCTAGTGGGCATGTGGGTGAAGAGAAATCTGTTTCCAGATCTGCTCCCTCACGCCCTGACCTCCTGCTGTACCCAGCCTCGCCCCGGCCCAGCTCCCCTGCCGCCATGCCCAGACCCAGGCTCAGGGCCTGGGCACACATGTGTCACCAGGCCAGAGAGTCGCCCAGGCCCCACCCTCCCTGGGCACCCGGGCTAGCCGGGACTTGCCCTGAGGCCAGAGGAAGAGAGTGAGAGGGGCCCCAGGGCCCCTGGAGACCCTGAGCTGCCAGGTCTCAGCCTGCCCACCTGTCCTAACTGCCAGCCCCTGGTAGCAGCCTAGGATATCCTCCCCTATGCCCAAGGCTTGCAGGGAGCACCAGGGTTGCCGGTCGAAGCCTAGTCCCTGTCCCTGCCCAGGGCCCCTGTGGAGAGGCCGCTCTTAGAGCTCAGCGGGTGGCCGCCTGGCCTACAGCCGCAGGAGCCGAGGCTGTGGCGCTGTGACCAACCCAGGCCTGCAGAGGGTCCCCGTGGGCCTGACCGAGGGACGAGCCTACCCACTTCCCTGGAGACCACAGGCAGGGGGAGGCTGGGCCAGGCACAGGTCGGCTTCTCCCTCTATGGTGCCCTCCCGCCGCCCTCCCACAGCAGCGCCAACCTCTGTTGTCACAGTCTGTGGCCACACAGCCTGCCCTGCGCCCTCCACCCTGCGCCCTGCTTCTGCTAGGCTCTGCTCCCTGGGGCTCTCCCAGGCCTTCCTCACGGGGCTCCTCTCAGCCCCTGCCCCCCGCCCCAGGGAGGTTGAGGCGGCGGAGATGAGGGAGCACGGGCGAGCGCCCCTCCCTGACATCCCCCCCAGCCACCAACCACCAAGAAACAGGGATTTCCGGGTTGGGGTGGACAGTGATGAGATGGACAGCAGAGAGAAGCCAAGCAGGAGATGGCGCAGGGAGGCTAGGCTTGCTCCAGGCCAGGGCAAGCATGCCGGGGAGCAGGCCTGATCCAGAATGGTCCCAGGATGGACGCCCCGGGACTGGGGGGCCCGGTGCTCCTGCTCCAGTATCGCCGAAGGCCCAGCCGCCGGCCGGTGGAGGAGCCGCCTCTCCACGCCTCTGTCTCCGCTGCTGGTGCCGCCGCCGCCGCAGGCCCCGCCTGAGCTCGTACCTCTTGTCCCCCTGAGCGTTCTGGTTCTGCTGGGTTCCTGGGTTTTGCAGGTCAGGGATATTGGCAAAGTCATCCTGTTCCGAAAGCCCTAAGACCAAGGATAGCACCACCATCCGGCCTTCCCTGCCCAGGGAGGCCCAGCAGCAGGGCGCAAGGAGAAGGGCGCACGGGCAGGGCGGGGAGGGGGGACAGAGACAGAGACAAAGAGAGAGAAGAAAACAGCGTAAGAAACTGGGCCTGCAGGAGAGAAACCAAACTTCAGCAATGTCAGCTGCAGTGGACGAGGGGGAGGGGAGGAGGGCCGGTCGCTGCGGCCCCAGCGCTCCGGGGTGCCAGCGGGAGGCACACACTGGCTGGGGCTCCTGGGAAGCCACGCACTCCGCCGGCTACCCTCTCTGCACTGGGAAGTCCACTGCGACACCTCTGCGCCACTCAGCCGGACGCCTTAGAAGCTAAAGGGCTTTCCGGACTCCCTCTTGTAGGAGCCAGGGAGAGCGCATGTCCCTTCCCACACAGGCGTCCTGGGCACACTGGCCTTCCTGTGACCCCCTCCTGCACATCCTGGAGTGACCGCCAGGCCTCCACGTCTGCTCAGGGCCTCTCTTCAGAGATGCGGTTAAATCGGGGATGGAAGTGCAGGCCCTCGGCAGGTCAGGAGACATCCCCACGGGACCACTGAGGGCAGACGGAAGCCAGAGCGACTGGACAGGGACGTGTGGCGGCAGGGTGGCACCGGAGCCCAGGGGATTCTCCGAAGACCGCTGTGGTCACCGCTCTTCCTGGGAGCACTTCTGGGCGCTTTGTGAGGCTTGGCCAGCGTAGGGGATTCTCAGGAGGGCTCGGGGAAAGGTCCAGCTGGGCCACGAGCGCTGGCTGGCCCTTCCCGGGGAGCAGTCAATGGGGACCTTGACAGGCAGGAAATGGCTGTGGGGGGTGAAGCATGGGGTCTTGGAAAATGGGAGATGCCACCGGGTGCACACGAGGGGAGGGAGCAGCCGCAGCTCCTTCTCTGTCTCTGTGTCTTTGTCCTGGGGACAGCCACTCCAGGCTGACGCTCACGCTGAGCTCTACCTTTGGGGGGTGACTCTGCCCCTTTCCTCAGCGCGAGTCCTCCTCGTCTCTGTTGCTCCTGCCCACCTGCGCCCTCCGGTTGGTAAAATTCCGCTTGGTTGCCTGGGGGAAGCAGCCCGACGAAAACAACGCGTCTCCCCCGTCGCTGCGTTTTTGAGATATTCCTCTCACTCCTTAAGAAACAGCGGCTCCTCTGCATAGAAGCCCATTTGCCATTCTCTGCAGCGCTGCAGGCTGCCAGGGCCAGGAGCTGGTGGTGCTGAGCAGAGCGCGGGGCTCCGCCGGGGACCTGGCCCTCTGGAGGGGCCGGGGAGTGCGGTGGCCCAGCCACAGCAGGGGCCGGCACAGCCCTGGATCATGGCCTGTTTCTGCACAGAGCACAAGTCAGGGTTTTATGGCTTTGAAGGGTGAATTAAAAGATCATGTGACGAAAACCATGTGGCCTGCAAAGCCTGAAATTTTACAATGCGGCCTTTGCAGGTGGAGCTGCTGGGCCCCGTGTGGGCCGGGGCGGGACCAGCATGTAGGCCTGGGCACAGGATGGCGGCCCTTGTGAGACGCCGATCAGACGCCGATCAGATCCTGGTCTACCTGGGCTCCTCTTGCGGCCAGGGACGGGCTCACAGTGGCGCAGGCGGGAAGCAGGGGCTGGCCGAGGAAAGCAGCCTGTTGCTGGGGCGCCTGTCAGCCCTGCGGGTGTGCCTGTGCCACGACAGCAGCGACGCCCTCTAGGTCACTGCCAGCACGGTGTCTTTCCTGGGCCGGTGCTGCCTGTGCGGTGGGCGTCCTGTTAGGCAGGCACTGCTGGCCTGTAAGGGTCGCTGGAGAGGTCGTCCCCATTCACAAGAAGCACCCGCAGCACAGCCCCCAGGCCTGCACAGGGCGGGCCGCCGGCCTTCGTGCAGGGGCTTCCGTCTGCCCCCGGCCGGAGCGCTCAGCAGGACACACACAGTGCTCCAGGGAAGGGTCTGCCTGCTCAGCCCGCACATCCTGCCCTGAGCTGGGTGCCGGTCTTGGGCTTCCCTTCTTCCTAGCTTTCTCCTCTCCCAGCCTCAGGCTGCTGCTGTCCTGAAAAGTGTGCCCAGGAAGGCCCGGGCATGGGAAGGACCCCGGAGCCTGGAAGGAAGCTCACGTTAGCTGGAGGCAGTGGGTGGTGCCAGGGGTCACAGCCCATGGCTGCTTGGACCCTGAGAGCCAGTGCTGATGCCCAGAAGGGTGCCAGGGCTCCCTTCACGGCTGGGGCGAGTGGCTGGGGAAGTGGCAAAGGTTAGACGCTGGCAGCCTCCAAAGACTTGGAAGAAGCCTCTGATGCAGAAATGACACCCTGGTAGCCTTGGGGAAGCATCCTCCGGGGAGGTCAGGGAGGAGAGAACTGGAGGACAGGTGGCTCCAGAAGGTCGGAGGCAGGGACAGGAAGCAAGAGGAGGGAGGGAGTGCGGGCTGTGAAGGCCTCGCCCGCCCAGGTTGCAGAGAGCAGGGAGGAAGGGAGGAGGAGGTGGAGCCTCGAGGAGAGGCTACAGACAGTTTAAGAGGGCAGGACGGGGGCTAGGCCAGCCAGCAGGGACAGTGCTCAGGGACCACTGCAGCCCCGTCAGCGGGGGCTTCTCTGAGCCCCCAGGGCTCTTCCACGCGGTTGCTCAGGCACGGGCCATGGGCACTCAGGAGGGGCCTGCTTGCGCCTGCCGGATTGTGGAGGGGCAGCGGGGCACAGGCACAGCTGGCCCAGGAGACGCAGGGGAAGGGGGTGGGCGGCCGCCCCGGGGGGAGGACTTACAGGAAGGATTTCATGTCCAAGCCTCGGTTTCGAATCTGCCCCACCACGTGGTCCCAGCTGCCTGGGTTGGAGCGGCTGCGGCCCCCCGCCGCCCGGTACTTGGAGCCGGCCGAGGTGGCCTGCCGGGCCGGGCCACGGCCGTGTGCGCGGGGGTTGGCGCCAGGCGCCGCGGCCACGTGGGCCTGCAGCTGGCCCAGGCTCTGGCTGGTGGTGGGCTGGCTGGGCTGCCGGCCCCGCTGGTGCTGGCTCAGGGGCTGCTGCAGGCTCTGCTGCCGTGTCAGGGTGCGGGGTCGCTGGCACCTCGGCTCTCCCGTGGAGCTGGGAATAGACTCAAGGGTAGTGGCCGTGGACAGGGTGGAGTCCTCGAAACTTGGGGGGGGGGGCGGAGGAGAGGAGAGAAAGGAGAAGCAGTTGAAGGGATCACAGCGCAGGAGAAAGAAGCCCAGGGCCAGGAGGCCCCAGTGCAGGGCATGCTTGGCCGGGCCATCGCCATCGCTGCCGTCACCGTTGCCGACCCAGTGCCCACCCCAGGCCCCGGCCTGCCCTGACCTCCTGCTGTCCAGCCCGCTTGGCCAGCACCCGCACTCCTGCCTGGCCCCTCCCCATGCAGCTGTGTGGTGAAGGCAGGTTCCCTGGACCCTCGGCCGCCTCACGTAGGAGCAGAGGGGTGTGGTCTCGCTGGGGGCACTAGGAAAGTGTGGCTCTGGGTTCTGAGGCCCACTGCCTTTGAAGGAGGAAATCCAGGCCCACGCAGACCTGGCCTAGTAATGCCTGGCGGCAGGACCACACATTCCTGCATTGTGCTCCCAGGGGAGGAGAGGAAGCGGCCTGGGGCCCAAGACCTCTTCCCCCACCACCGCCCAGGAGGCTCTGGGGCACAGCTCCAACCTCCTGCTGGGGCTCTTTGTTCTGGGGCTCAGCATCTTCTCTGGGATCCTTAGGAGCAACTCCCTGTCCAGGAAGGGACCAAGAGAGGAGCACACAGGGAGCCACAGACCCACACCTCTGGCCCCTTGACCCTGCTCTGACAGAGGATGGGTGGCTGCCCTGTCTTTTATGCACCTGCAGGAAGGTTCCCATGTCAGGCAGCTCTGGGAATCGCTGGGGTCAGGGCGAGGTTGGTGTGAGGGCAGCCAGGAAACAGGACCTGGTTGGCCAGAGGTAGTGCAGGGCCAGAGGGCCTTGATTCAGAGCTGACCTCTGTCACTTACTATCGGCGGCTCTGGAGAAGCCTTTCCACCTCCCCAGACCTCAGGGTTCCCTTCCCTGCCCCCTCCCTCTGCCAGTCCCGCCGTCTAGGGTGGAATCAGCACGGTAGCCTGGGGTCCCCAACTGGCCTAGGAATCGAATTTTCCTGGGGCACGGCCCCTGGCATTGGTTTGCAGGGTTTGGGGCTCACAAAGCCTACAGACACCCTATGTGGGCCTCCCCTTGTCAACCTTGCTTACCCTTGGTCTGGGGCCATGGGGCAGCCGTGTCCCCCTGGGGAGGTGGGGAGGAGGCCCAGGGCCCTTGGGAGCCATGTTCACCACACAACCAGACCCTGCCTCTGTCACCCCGAAACCTAGCTGGGAACCAAAACACAACAGTTAGGCTGCCCCTGTGGGCTGAGGGGAGAGAGAGAAAGACAGAGAGAGACAGCGGGAGAGAGGAAGAGGGAGGGAGAGCGCCAGAGCAGAGCAAAGAGAGAACGCAAGAGAGAGGGAAGAGAAAGCAGAACGTGCCTGACTGGGGTCTCCCTGGGGCGCAGCCTGGCCTGAGGAGGGCCTGCAACCAGGCTTCCGCCTGGCGCCAAGTGAGCCCGCGGCTTGCGAGGCAGCTGGGGTTGAGACCAGAGGAGGGCGGCACGCCCGTGGCCACCTCCTCCTCCTCGCTGACCTCATTTTCATTTCCTATCACATCCAAAATTAGTCCAATTTACAAACTCTCAGTCACAGGAAACTAAAATTGGTACCTCCAGGCCTGGAGCCAGCGTAGGGCATGGAGGCCTCACCAGCCTGGAGACGGGCTGGGCAGCCAGGCACGCAGGGCACGGGACTGCCCGCAGGCCGGATGTCAGGAGGAATGGCCCTATGGTCACTCAAGCCAACAAGAAAAGGGGGTCTCAGCCAGGGCCCTCAGTGGTCCCCAGGGGGAAACTTCTGCGGGAGCCAGGAGGGTCCGGCCGCGGGGAAGGGGCAGCTACAAGGGAGGCAGGGGCAGATCAGGAAATGGAGCCTATGTCCCAGTGCAGGGCAAGGTCACCATCACAGGGCTGAGGACCTGAAGGCGCCACCCCGGGACTGAGACTTCTGTGGGCCAAGAGGAGAACGGGCTGCCCGTGGGGCGGGAGGGGGAAGTGTCATCTGCAGAGAGCAGGGCTAGCTCCACCCCCATCACTCAAGATGGGCCATCGTCTGAGGGGCCATCAGAGAGGAACGGCTCCTGGGCGGTGTCTGGGCCCCCCTCTACCATCGGGAAGGAGAAGCCGGCCGGTGCACTATGGCCGGCCTCCCAGACCCTCAACCCCAGCACCTGGCCGAGGGACAGCTCGCTGACCAAGGCCAAGGTGGTCGTGGAAGGCTGAGATGAAGTGGATGGGGGCAGCCTGGTGGCCGCTCATGGGTGCAGCCCGGCAACAGACAGTGTCGTGGCCCAAGCAAGACAGGACAAGCGGTGCAGTCAGCCCGGGCCCACAGTGGGCGCCCAGGCTGGTCTAGAGCCTGCTGCTGGTGCCGATGAGTGGCAGGCACAGGCTGACACTGGAGGGTGCGGGTGGGCGTGCGGCCAGCCTGGCCTGCTGCCCCTGGGGATGAGCCCGAGGACGGGGTGGCCCAGGCGCCGCGAGGAGGTGGTGGCTGATGGGCGGCCGCCAGAGGCTGGGATGCAACACTATGGTTGGTGGGCTGTGCCGGATGGCGGACGATGACAGGTCTCGTGAAGGGGTGGAATGGGCCGGGGCCGAGGACGGCGCCTTGGGGAAGCAGCAGGCGTGCAGGTCCCGCTGCCCACCCTGGTGGGCGGCCTGAACTCCCCGCTCCTCCGGCAGCCACGGGCGCCATCACTCACTTGGACAAGTTGAGCTTCCCCGCGGCCAGGTGGCTCTGCACCATCCGCCAGCGGCCTCTCCCCGCCTTGCCGCCGCTGCCCGGCTCGCTGGGGGCAGCCCCGCCGCTTCTCAAGGCGTCCTCTCCTGGTGGCGGCGCTGGCGCCGGTTTCTCCCCTAGCCGGCCTTCCCGCTCCACTGCCAGCCCCGCTGCGGCAGCCACTTTGGCGCCCGACAGGAGGGTGCCACTGGGGGGCGTGCACGAGGCAGCCGGCCCGGCGGGCACAGGGGTGGCGTGGCGGTGGCGAGAGAGGGCAGGCCACAGCGGGGGCACGGGGGTGGGCGAGGAGGAGAGACAACGACAGATAAAAGGAAGAGAGAGACAGTGAGAGGAGGAGACAGACCAGACGGACAAGGGACAGACAGAGAGAGAGAGAGACATCAGCACCGGCTGGGCTAACAGAGCCTGCGAGGAGAGAGGGCTGGGCTGGGGTCGAGAGCAACGCACCACGACAGCGGAGGGGCCCCTCCCCACCGCCGGCCGGGCGGCGGGGGTGGGGGAGGGCAGCCGCCTCCTCCATCCCACGGGACAACGAAGGGTTAACGACGGAGGAAGAGCGGGCTGTCCAGGCCAGGAGGCCCCAGGCAGGGAGAAAGAGAAAGCCGTGTTAGTCAGAGACCCTCACCGCCACCGCCACCGCCACACCGCCACACACCGACCACCACCACCACCAGCAGCAGCCACGGCAGCAGCAGCAGCAGCAGCAGCGCGCGGGGAGGAAGCAGCCACACGGTGGGGACCCAACGGGCAACCCGTCTGCTGCCGGGGCGGGCCGCGCCTGTGCGCAGGCAGAGGGGGTTGCTCGTCTCCATGGCGGCCTGCCCATGGGGGGGGCACGGGGCAGCGGGCAGGAGTGGGCCGGGGGCGTGCGCGGAGACTGGACAGAGGGTGAAACCAGGCAAAGTCACTCACTTGAGGGACAGTCGTGGGTCGCCATAAGGGGCGTAGGGTGAAATGTTTAGAATAAACTCCTTGGGAGGGTAGGAGCTCCATTTCTGCTGCACTGTGCTGTCATTGTTATTCCAAAAGTCTCTGTCTAGGTCGCTGGAGGGGCAGAGAGAGAGGGGAGAAGACAGGAGATACAAGAAGAAACCGCGGCCAGTCCTGCGGGCTGAGGGGCCGGGGCACGGGCGGGGCCTGGAGGGCCGGCTCCTGTGGGAGGAAGAGAGGCCGCCGGGCACCGGGCACACGTGTGCGCACACGCACACACACGCGCATGTCCACACACACGTGGGCGGGCACACACACTCATCCAAGCGCACACGAAGGAAGCGACAGGTGGCCACGGAAGCCTCACGCCTGGGGAGCTGGAGGGAGAGAGAGCGGTGAGGTGATGGGAGGAAGGACAGCAGGCTGGGCGCGGACCACAGACGGCTGAGGCCGTGGGGTGGGGGAACGGGGGAAGCTGGGAAGTAGATGGATCCGGGCGGCCTCAGGGTCCCCACCTGTCAGAGGAGAAGATTGTCCTTCCACAGAGCCACCGGAGGCGGCCCCAGCGCCCTGCCTACCCTTGTCCTCCCATGTCCTGGGGGTGTCCCTGGCATCCTCTGTCCCCTCCACCCTGGGGGCCTGGGGTGGAGCACTCTACAAGCGTCACTCAGGCCCCAGAGGAGCGGCGAGCCCAGGCCTGTCTCCAGGAGGGCAACAGGGTCAGCGGGGTCCTTTGCTGTGGAACCTTCCCTGGGCAGGGCATGTGGCCTGTGGCCGGCAGCCCCTACACTCTGACCCTCCCCCACCTGCCATCCCTGGCCTGTGGCTGGTCACCAAAGAGCGGCATGCTGGACTGTGGAGCACGGGGACTTCCCGGCAGGGTGGTGGCCAGAGGCTGGGTGCCCAGGCACAGGGTCCAGGGGCGGTATCACTGCTGGTGTGGAGGCTCCTAGGGCCCCAAAGAGTAGGGTTAGGGGCCCCAGGAGGACACAGCTGCTCCCAGGCCAGAGGGCCAGTGCGGAGGCAGCCGTGCAGAGCTGCAAAGACTGAGGGCCGGGCCTGGTGTGGGCCAAGGTGGGCACTGCTGGGGGTGGCACTGTGTGGGGCACCCCTTGGGCCCGGAAACACGACCTCGGGAGGCCTGTGCCCACCACAGTTCAACCTTGACGCTGCTTCTCAACCTTGGACTTGGAAGCAACGGAGAGGGAGGCGGGGAGGGGGAGCTGCTGCCCAGCCCCAGGGAAAGGGGATGTGGGGCCTCCCGGAGGGTTCAAAGCACACCCTGAAGTGTCCAGCTCGGGTGTGGCTGGGTGGGGAGGCAGGACGGGCCCAGGGCAAAGAGCCTTTCTCGACAGAGCCCCCTTGGCCCCTGGTTCCCAGGGGATGGCCCCAGTGGAGGCCCAGGCCACCCAGCGCGGTCAGAAGACCCCTGTGGGCTCCCACCCTGTCCAAACTGTGCACTAGAAGACAGGACCCTCATTAAAAAGTGGGGAAGGGGTTTCTACTGCGGCACTCATCGGAGCCCTGGACGTGCCAGGGACTCTCGGTGTCGCAGCGCAGCCCAGGCCTGCTGGCCCTGCAGCCCGAGCGGCACTAGGCGCCGTGTGCTTGAGGGGCGCAGCGTGGGCAGCACTGCCGCAGTGCGGCCGAGGAGCCCTGGCTGACCCAGCCAGCTGAGGGGCTACTTTCCTGGGGCGGGGGTGTGTCTGACGCCCGCTAAACTGTGCAGTGTCCTCCCTTGGTCTTAAGAACTCCTGTGGGTACTGGTCCCGGCCTGGCAACGCTGCTGACTGCCCTGCGGCCCTGGCCCCCACTCTCCTGGCCCCCGGCAGACAGAGCCCTGCCCTGGCCCACAGCTCCACTCCTGTGGCCCCTCAGCCTCCAAAAAGCCAGGCCTGTGCTCCTCGGGCTCCAGCCCGGGAGGCCCGGCTCTCTGCTTTGAACGCTGGGAGAGCAGGCGGCCAGACCAGCTTCAGAGGCTCCCTGAGGCCTCCACCCACACCGCCTCGCTGGCTCCCCATCCTCACCCAGCCCTGGACACAGACCAAAGCTCCCAGCAGGTGGAGGAGGCATGGGCGGAAGAGGGGCAGGAGGGAGCCCTCGGGTCGGTGGGGGGAGATGCCCAGGGCAGGGGTAGTGGCAGGAAGGGGCAGAGGAGAGTGGCGGGGGGTCAGCAGGCTGGGGCTGTGCCCTGGGCAGTGGCCACGGAATCCCCCAGAAAAAGCCTCATCCCAGAGCCAGGTGGCCACGGGGGTCCCCTGGGGTCTCTGGTGAAACTCAGTGGGGTGCTGGCCGAGGTGGCCAGCGTGGGACAGTGGACCTGCCTGCGCACAGAGGGACAGGCAGGTGGGTGGAAGCTGGCTCTCAGGGTTCAGCACGGAAGCCAGGGGCAGGGAGACGGGGCGGAGAAGCCCAGCACAGGGTTAGCTCTCAGTCTCCTTCTGGGCCTCAGAACCTGGATCCATGAGGAGGGGCTTCCTAGCCCAGACGCAGGGGCTGGAGAGGTTCCTGGGGGCCCCAGGGGTTGCCTCGGGGGCCAGGGACAGTGTGTGATCTGAGGACGGGGCAAAGGACAGCAACTAGGGCTGAGGCAGGTCGTGGGCAGCAGTGAGGTGCTGATCTAGAGGGCATGGGCAGGAAAGAGGGCCCTGGGGGCCCCCAAGGTGCTGCAGCGTGGGGGGTGCACACACTGTGGACTCAGATGAGGGGGCTGAGTGGATGTGCGTATGGTTAGGCCCGAGGAGGCGGGGGCAGGAGGGCTCCTCCCACCTGGGCTGCTGTGTGCCCCCAAATCGGCAGCTTACACCTACTTGATGGCCTTCTTCTCGCTGCGCCCACGCCCCGAGTCCGGCGTGCCCACGGTCTCCAAGGAGTTCTTGTAGCGTTTGCCCTGTGGAGACAGCATGGGTCACTGCCGGGGTTCCCAGAACAGGGGCTCCAGGGGAAGGGAGGAGACAGTGAGGCCCAGAGGCCAGGTGGGGGGGTGTCACTGCTGCAGGGGGCCAGGCCCAGCTGGCTCGAGGACCCACCTGCCACTCACGACAGGTATCAGGCCCCAGGTACCAGGCACAGCCTGTCTGCTGTCTCCCCAGCCTCTGGCCTGGTGCCCAGACACAGTTCCCTCTGCCACGGACAGACGGCTCTCGGGCGCCTGGTCACGTCACATCGGCCACGTCACCGCCCCCAGATGGTGGGGGCGGCCTCCTGTGGGGCAGGGCTGGCAGTGACCAATGACGCAGGCCGTGGAGGCAGGGGCAGGCCAGGTTCCTCCTCCTGCCTGGGGCTGTGTCCGGCCCTGTCCCAGCCTCCCTGGGTGCCCTTGAGCCCCAGGCTGGGGAGACCCTGGCCTGGGGTGGGAGACAAGCCCGGCCTCAGATGCCGACCCCCACCCCGGTGTGGGGGATGTTGGGAGGGGCTGGAGTACAGGCGCTGTGGCTGGAAGGTGAGCACGGTTCACCTTCCCGCTTTGGGTTTCTAAATTTAGCTGGAGCCCAGCCGGGCCCATTAACATTCCTGGCTGCACGGCGTCCTCACGCGCACCCACGGGCCTTGGCCGGGCCTGGGTAGCTGTGGGCAGAGCGCTGTGCAAGGGTGGCTGACAGCGGGTACTGCCCACCCTGCCTGGCAGAGCGGGGTGACACACACGCGCGCGTGTGCTGACTCCCCTGCAGTGCAGCCACAACAGTCTATTACTTCATCCTCCCTAAAGCCAAATGGGCTGCCCAGGCCACGTGCCGGCGGCCCCTGCCAGCTGTACCGCTGTGGCTGCGGGAGTCCCCAGCAGGCTCCACAGCGCCTGTGTGCCCTCCCACGCCCCTGCCCTCCGTCCTGTCCTCCTCCTCCCTGAGAGTGCGGTGCCACCAGGTGAACCCAGAGGGTGAGGGCCTCTCCCCAGATGCGGTTATTTCCGAGCTCGCTTACGCTGGCTCCCACGCCCTGGGACAGAGCCCTGCCTCAAAAGGGGGGCAGAGCCGTGTGCTCTCTGCATCTGGGCCGGGACCTGGTACCCACCAGGAGCCTCCCCAGATGTTCAGTAGCAAGCGCCCCTTCCATGTCCCACCCCCGGGGCTGGTCACTGCCTGCAGCTGAGCCTTGGAATTAGAATGCAGACATTCTGGACCCACAGCCATCTCTGGTCCCCATCATCACCCACAAGTTCAAATCCCAAACGGTTCCCTGTGCCAACTGGGAACACCAGGGCTGGGCCACCTCGTGGTGGCCAGGACAGTCTCTGGCAGGCCCCCCAGGTGGCAGCCCAGCCCCCAGTACTCTTGGGCATCCTGCAGTGAGGGGCAGGGCGGCACTGAGGGCATCTCTGTTGCCCCAGTTCCCTCTGCTCTAAGGAGGTTAGCTGCCCCTGCCCCAAGGTCAGGCAGGGCTGGGGACAGTGACCCTGCTCCCCAAGGCATCCTGGAAGCTTCTGCTTGCCCCTCTTCCTTCCACAGCTTGGAAACTCTTCCTGTGGCTGTGACTGTCACTCTGTGGCAGGAGCTGGAACCCAGCCACTCCAGGACCCCTTACGTGGCTATGGAGGACCCCACACCGCACCCCACTCCCCAGGAAGAGGTGGCCAGGCTGATCTGGACAAGCCAGTGGACAGGAAGAAAGTGACTGCAGTTTGGAGACAGGATCTGGGCTGTTGGTACATCACACTACTGCTGTGAGGGGACGGGAAGGCACGTGGAGCCCAGCGTCTGCTGGGAGGGCAGCCTTTGAAAGCCCCTTCCACAGCAAGGGGACAGCATGGACAAAAAGCTCCTGACATCTGGAACCCACAGGGTAGGGGTCCAGGGGCAGGCCAAGTAATGTTCCACCCCGAGCAAGCCAAGAGGGGCAGGCTGGCCAGGCCCTTAGAGGGCTCCAGCTGGGGGCCCGGGCTGCTGGGACTGGGCCAGGGGCTGCTGCGAGGCATCTCAGCTGCCCAAGGCACTGCCTGCGCTGGTTACAAAAGCTGCTGTCTCTGTACCTCGCCCCTAAGCTCTGTCCTTGCTGGAGATGAGCGGGGCCAGGTAGGGGCAGTCCACCCTGATCCTGGAAGGTGTGCCTGCACATACATACACACACACAGACACACACACAGACACACACACAGACACACAGGTTAGCTGTGAGGTGTCCAGTATGCACAGACACATATGCTGCCCTTAATCGACACACTCAGCACACACACACAGTCACCAGCAGTGCACAGCCTTCTCCTTGCCTTCACAGACAGACGGACAGACAGACTCTGCTGTATGGGCACACTCAACCTCTGCCAGTCTTGAAACAGACGGAGGCAGACCCAGGGACCCAGGTCAGTGCAGGGCAGCCAGCCTGGGCCCACACACCTGCAAGGGGGATGGGCAGTCACACCCACACACGCACGCTCCTGCACACTCACTCGCACTCCCAGTGGCTATGACCGGCCTCTCTGGCTCCTCCAGCAGCCAGCTGCAGGGGCACGCTGCGCTTCCTCAGATGGCTTCCAGAAGGAGTCTGCTGGCTGATGAGCCGCTGAGGTCCTCCCCAAAGGTCCCCCAAAAGACCCCACAGCAGTGGGGCTTGGAGTCCCGGCCACCCCGTCCCTTGGTTGCAGCCCTGCCCTCTGTCCTGTAGGCCCTCCGGCCGGCAGGAAGACAATGGCTTCCCAGAGGTGGCACCTGCGCCCTCGCAGGGCTGCTAGGGACCCCTCTCGACCCGGCCAGGGGAAAGGCCCTGCGCCCTCGGCCCCCAATTCCCCACAGGACAGGCGAGGGCTGGCTGCGGGGCTGGCAGCTCAGCCCGCTGCCCCTTCCCGCAGCCTCGGGTGACTAATGCCCCTCCTGACAGCCTCGTTACTTATTGATGGCCTATCCTGCTCGTTAATTCCCCAGCCCTCGTTAAAAATGAAAAGCAGTCGTTTGTGCTTGTACAAACCGGAGCTTCAGGATGAATGTGCGGGCGGCGAGGGTGGGGCGGGCGGCGCCTCCTCATTGGCCGCGAGGCCAAGCTCAGCCACGCCCATCTGGGGAGAGAAGGCGGGCGGCGCCTCCTTATTGGCTGGGAGCCCGGGCAGCCACGCCCGCCGCAGGAGGGGCGGGTCCCGGGGCCGATTCTCAGTCTTTGCGTGTGTGTCTGCGGTGCTGATACGGAGTGGGGCGCGCGCGCAGCGGCGGGCGTGCGAGTCCTCAGGTGTGTGGCTCAGGGAGTGACAGGAGATGCATGGGACCCAGACGCAGGCAAACGTGGGGCATGCGTGTGGTAGGGCTCCCACGCGCGTCTGCTCGACTGCGCGCGCAGGACAGCTGCGTGGGGAGGGGCTGCGGGCCCGGGCCCCGCCCCCAGGGGCCCCAGGATCTCACCAGTTTGCGCTGACACCAGTGGCAGAGGCCGCAGAGGACGACTGTGACGCTAAGGCTGACGGTGATGATGGCGGACACCAGCAGGACATCGCGGGTGGGCGCCCCTGGGGAGGGGGACACACAGGTCAGACCTCAGGGTCCAGGGCCCACCGCTCCCTCCTCGTGGACTCCCAGAACAGCCTCAGCTCCGCCGAGCCCTGCGCGTGCCCCCAGCTCTGCCTTGGAGGCGCAAGCTTGGGAGCCCCTCCCCGCCTTGCCTCAGTTTCCTGGTCTGTAAAATGGGAGACCTGGCTTCTCTTTCAGTCTCTCTGTGCCGTCCTCCAAACCTGACACCACAATTTCAGAGGCCGCAGGTGCCTTTCAGCTGCGTTTTCAGAACCTTTCAGCTGGTTTTCAGAACCCCTGCAAGGACCCAGCCTTGGGCAGGGCCTTCCTCCCTTCCCATCCCGCCCTCCACACACACTCTGAGTCCTGAGTGCCGACGCCCACCTGGGCAACGAGTCTGTTGCCAGCCACAGGTGGAGAGGAAGGGGTTCTCCGGTCGCTGACCCTTGTCAGCTTACCTTCCCCTGCCCGCTCCACCTCTGGCCCAGAGCGCCACTGCCACTGGCGCCCACAGCCTCAGCCCGGGCCACCCTGTGCTCCTGGGCTCCTCATCCGGTTCCATTCTGACAGCCAAAACCTGCCCAGGAGGAAAACGCACGTTTCCACCCAAGCCCCACCTCCTCCCAGCTGTGGACCGGCAACGCAGTGCTCGCCTTCTGCTCTGTAAACACAGATGAGGCCGGCCACAGGTCGCTGGAACACGACCAGCGCACCTAAGGGGTTCGCTGGAGCGGGCAGATCACACTTGCGTGGTGAAAGTCAGCGTCCTGAGTCAGGGAGATGTGGTTTATTTACAGCGGGGCCTGCGTGGGCTGCTGGGTGCCTGCGAGTGTGGTGATTAAGACTTGACAGGGTCGGCCCTTCCCAGCTCCTTCGACTATAGCTCTGCCTTCCTGCCTCCTCCGGGTCTCTCATGGAGAAGGGTTGGTGGCAGTCAGGGCTCTCAGGGCCCAGGGTGCCCTGCCACCCCGTCAGCACCCCAGGGAGCCCCTGTGCCCAGCTCCTGATCAACCTCAGGCCCTGCACATCAGCCGTGGGCACCAGGGCCGCCATCGGTGGGACAGCTGACCCGCCCACCAGACGTGCAGGTGCCCCACGCGCACGGACAACTCAGTCCTCACTGAAACAACCTTAATAAGCATTAGGGGCTGTCCTCAGTTTTACAGGTGGGGAAACCCAGGCCGAGAGATCAGGCACCATGCTGACAGTCAGGCCATCAGTGAGTGGGCAGCCAGGGTTCAGGGTCCATGCTCCGCCTTCACCACTCCTACCACAGAGGGGCACGGCTGGTGTGCTCAAAGTGTGCTCTCTGGAGCCCTGCGGTTCCTGGACTGTCTGGGCGCTGGGGCGCTACATCCGCCTCAGCCCGGTTCCCCTGTCCCCTTTAGACTTGTGTGGAGAAGTCCATTCAGAGCAGGGATGTGCTGCTAAGGGAAGCTGGACCGCAATGTCTGTAACGGTGACCCAGGGTCTCCCGCCGCCTCCGTCCATGAGTGCCTGTCCTGTCTTCCAGGAAGCCGACTCAGCCCCCTCGGCCTTCTCCCTCCCTCCAGCAGCTCGGGCTGAGGCGAGCGCCTGCCACTGCACATCGCCTTGATAGGAATGGAAGTGACAGGTATCCTTGGGCCACGCGCCCTCCACGATGTCCCGCCCAGGGTGCAGCGTGCGCACACCTGCCAGCCAAAGGGAGCCGTCCTGAGCACAGGGTCGCTGTGGCTAAGGGACACACAGGTCACGTGTCAGGTCGTGCAGGAATGCGTAGCCCTGGATGGGGCTGGGTCTGCTGGGTGGGCCTGGTGGGTGGCACCTGCCTCCCGAGAACTCCCCCGTGGCTGAGCCTGCCCTCAAGCTGGAGCTGTGGGAGCGGGCAGCTGCCTGACAGGCCTCCACATCCCTGTCAACAGCTCCGTGTCCCCTTCGAGTCTTCTCCAGGCGAAGCCTCCTGGCTCTGCTATCGCTCGCTCAAATGACACACATGGTTTCAAGTCCCCTTATTCTCAGCATATTAACATTTGGGGAAAGGAAATATTGCAGGCTGAGGCAGCCTTTGATAGCGCCAGGCTCCACCGCCTATCCTTGGGCAGAGGAGACAGCCCAGGCCCCAGGAGCTGAAGACAAGGGCAGACAGAGGGTATTGGGAGGCCTGGAGGAGGGGCGGTCAGCAGTGGGCAGGGTGGGCCCAGGGGTCCAGGCCAGGGCTGCCCCGGGAGTGAGATGTGAGGTCGGGCATGCTGCCGTCCCTCTGCAGGGTGCACCAGCCAATCAGGTGGGACAGCTGACCCGCCCTTGCCCACCAGACATGCAGGTGCCCCAGTCAGATCTGAGCTCCCACCGAGTCCAGGGGCGCAGCCTTCACTTTGGAGCACGGTGCCCCCAAGACCTCAGGGTAAAGCCCAGGATGCACCCTCCACTCGGGGTCCTCTCAGCAGGCCTCTTCCCCACTGTGCCCAGCCTTGAGGACAGAGCCTGGCATGCAGCAGGTGCTCCATAAATGCTCACTGCAAGGAGGAAAGAAGAAGCATCCCGGGCCTGTGGGAGGAGGGCGTCCCCATATTAAGCACCTGCTGTGTGCCACATTCAGGCCCATGGAGACGAGGCAGGTCCGCCGTGCCGCTTCAGCATCCTCCATGAGCTTGCGTCTGACACAGAGTCCCTCGGTGAATATGTGTTGAATGTGTAGGCTTGCATATGTTACCTCATTTGTCACCCAAACAAGATGGAAGAGAGGAGCCGGGAAGGCGTCCGAGACAAGTCCCGGAGGCTCCCCCTTTCCCGGCGCAACTTTGCCAGACATGCTTTTGACTTCTGCAGGCTCACAGGAAAATGCCACCTCCGGGAAGCCCTTCCTACCTGCCTGGTGGGATTCACTTCTCCTGCCTCCACATCCGCACACGTCCGTCTCCTAGGGTGCAGTAATTACGCACCAGGGCTCTGGGCTTGACTGCCTGGGCTCAGATTCTGCCAAGCTCTGACCCCGAGTCTGTGCAGGCCTCGGTTTCCCCTTCTGCACAGGGGGGCTAAGAACAGCACAGCTCCCACAGGACTCGAGTGCGGCTTACGGGAATTAGCACATATGACGTGCTCCGCACAGCGCCTGGTGTGGGATAAGCAGGCCAAGAGCGCCAGCTCTGCTCACTGCGCCGCGCCATGCGCTCTGCGCTCGAATCTGGGGCACAGACTGCCGCTCGGGAGCTCTGACTGAGTGCTGCACTGGGTGCTGTCCAGAGTCCCTCCAAGATGTGGGGGTCAGGGGTCAGTGGCACCCCGGCCCAGGACCCGCTGGGCCCATGGAGCATCAGTGAGCACCTGGGGCACGGAGGGCGGGGCTCTGGGGTCCGTGCAGCCACATGAGAAGCCACTGGGCCTTGGCGGGAGCCACAGACCCGCCAGGTCCTCACCAGGGCTCTGCCCCACTGCCGGCTCCTTCTCATCTCCTCAGCAAGCCATGATTTATGGATGAACGGGATCAAACAGGGCTGCTGGCTGCAGGGCGCCCTGGGGAGCCGCAAGAGAGGGAACAGACTTCTGAGGGCTGGTGTGCCAGCTGCCCAGGGGGGACAGGAGGGGTGGGGGAGGAAAAGACAGGCCACAGACACCGCAGTTCACGCATGCACACAAGCCGAGGATGCACACTGGCATGGACACCATGCACACTCATGCACACGCACCACGGCTGTGGCAGAGCTCTGTCCCTCCCCATCACGAGGTCTGGGTGTTCACGCTCCTCGTCGGCCTGCAACTCCCCCTGCACACCGCTGTCCCTGTCCAGTGCTGCCTGTCCTTCTGAGGCGAAGCGGGGCAGTGCAGCAGATGCTGTGAGTTCAGGCCCGGCTCTCCTGGCTCAGGCACAGGGCCCAGGCCAGGCCCGAGCGGGTCTAGGCCTGGCAAGGCGGGCCTCGTCTGCCAGTGCAGTGAACGTGCACTGAAGACTCGCTGTGGGGCAGGCCCCGCACCTGAGGTCCACCCGCACCCTCTTCAGGACTGGGGATGCTGCCGCCCCACCCCACGGCAGAAACTGAGGCCTGCAGCGCTGACTGCACAGGAGCCTGTCCCTTCCCACGCGACTCAGGGCCTCCCTCAGCGCCCAGCGCCGTGCCAACCTCAGAACGTGGTCCTCAGCCCTCCTTCCCGCCAGACAGACCAACGCTGTCCCCCGCAGGAGGCCTGGTGTGAGCCGTGCCTCTGCCCAGCTGACTTCCTGTCTACTCCGTCTCCAAGGCACCTGGCAGGAAGTGACAGGTGTCCTTGGGCCACGCGCCCCAATTCTCCGCAGGAGCAGCGACAGTTCACCATTCGGGGTTAGCGCCGAGCTGTCTCTGTCCTTCCCAGCCCAGGAGGCAGACCCCCGACCCCATGTCTCTGCGGCCGGAAGGAGACCTGAAAGGCTGGATGTGGAACTGCTAAACAAACGCAGGGAAGGACTCAAGGCCTCAGAGCAGCCCTCCTCCAGGAAGCCTTCCCCAGTGATGAGGACTCGAAGCAGACTCCACCCCCTCCAGGCCCGAATAAACGTGGGTCACTTTGCTTGAGCACAGAGCTGTCCCCACCTGTAGGCTGCGGGGCACACTGGGAATCTGCATGCAGGCTTTCCCCAGACACACACATGTGACACACATGCTCCCCATGTCCAGCCTTGCCACAACTCGGTTCCCCAAGCCCCCACCCGCACCCCATGTCCCCGCTCCTAGAGGGCCTGTGGGGGGCACCCCTCTCAGCACACTGCGCTCCTTGACAAGGGCCTTCAGTCGCAGTAACTGATGCACCCAGTACCGAACCGCATGCACAGGCCTCAGTGCCCCTCTGGACATAAATCTCTCACTCCCATTGGACAGTGAGGGCAGCAGAAAGGGTTCTACGCTTTCCGAGCCACACACAGCAGAAACAAGGTACGGTGGCCTGAGAGACCCACACCCTGGGCTTGGCCTCTTGTCCACCACAGGGACAAGAGCTTCACCTTGAAATAGGCAATGCTGAGAACAGGACAGGAAGAAGGGGACAA